AAAAAAAAAAAAAAAAAAAAAACACATAGTAAAACCAATACCTTCTCAGCATCGCATCGAAGCTAAAAAAAATATATTTTTATTTTACTATGTATTACCTTTAAGGCAAACATATTTAGGGGAGTCAGGCTTTCCTCTAGTTTGTATAATCTCAACTCTCAAAAAATTAGACTATAAATGCAAGACTATAATTTTCGAGTTTGAAAATATTTATCAATAACACGTGTTTGAATAATATCATTCAAGGATAGATGATTAAAATAAAATATGTAGAATAGAAATAAAAATATGTTACTTTAAATATTTACCTCTTATTTTGGTTAGATTCTATTAATGTTTGAGTTGCACCAGATCCTTGGTAATACAATGAACATGGTAAAACACTATAAAGTTAATAATTTTTTTTGAAGCTTATTTTTTATTATCTCTGCCCAACAAAAAAAAAAAAACTGGTTAATTATATGAGTATGAGAGGCGTATTTATATGCAGGAAATATAGACAACTGCCTACAGCGGCATATTTTGAGTGGCGGCAAATATTGATGGTAAACAAATTTATATAAAACGAGTTATTTTTTTATTGTTGTTAAGACATATTGACTTCCTAATAATTATCATAATTGTTTTCATTTATTGTGTATATATGATATATATATATATTAATAGTTACAATCAAATTATTTTATGATTTATTAATAAACATAGATTTGCTTGAAAAATATTTTTAAATAATTTTTTTTTTTTTGAGGGAGATTTAGTAGTGTTATGGCGAAAATATATAAAAATGAGCCCCCTCTACCATAACGTAATGAAGGGCAGCAAATTTTGAAATGCCTACAGGCGGAAAATATGTGAATAAGCCCCTGTTTAGGGTCACTGATTCCGAATATGATTTCATAATTTATTTACTGAATTTCGATGGATAAATATTAACATATCAACTATTACACATGTAAATAATTACTAATGAATAACATGTTAGTATGTTCTGACTATTCTATTTTTAGATTAATCCTTACCAAATTTTTACAACAATAAAATAATATTTTATAATATGTAATACTTTAAACTACGGGGGTTAGTCCGGCGACGGACTAACCATCCGTCCAGGAGTATAAATAGTTAAGAAACTTCCTTTTTTGGGAGAGGCGGCGATAGTCCATAATGGGCTGATAAAAGCGAAAAAAAAAATACTTTTAACTACATTTTATATATTTTTTATTTACTTAATTATTTTATGATTATTTTTTCTTGAGATTTTTTAAAACGCTATAGCGTTTTTAACTTTAGATTTTAAGAAATTCTGGTCAAAATTCATAATTTCTCTATAATAGTTAATCAAAAATTATTTTCAGGTTAAAAAATTGAAATTTTCGTATTGCATTCACATTATTTTCACAGTATTTGTGGCTTTCATATGATATACATTATTTGATTTTTGACAATTATTACAATAACTTTAAAATCTTATACCTTTTCATTAAAAAATAATGCGCGTTATCTCAAAATTAGAGCTATTAGGGTAATTCGGAATCAGTAACCCTGAAATACTCAGAAATAACCCTTCACGCCCTGCATCTGTAACTTTTTTTTGTTTTTATTATAATTAAAGTTACTTTTACAAAATAAAAGTTACTGTTATGATTATATTTAAGTTTTACTACTTTTACTTACATTTTTTAATTAGAATAAGGTGTAGTAAGTTAACGAATAGGGAAAAATGAATTCAGTATTTCCTAAAATTAAACAATATAAAAAAACATTCTTGCTAGCATAAAAATGTTTATTAGTACACTTTTAAACTAATTAGTTATAGATGGGTATTTAAATGGGGTTCTTATGAACAGAAAAACTATGTAACAGAGGGGGAGATTAGTTTCTCACTACTTTACGTTCAAAAAGTTCTCCAAATACCATCATATATACAAAATTTCTAAATACACCACTGCTATTAGTAACACTAGTTCTGGTAATAAATTTGTATAAAGCATATTTCGATGTAATTTTTAAACAAAAATTAAAATTATTAACATTCTTTGGTAAATTTTAAAACTTTCCTCCTTGAATTTTCCGAGAGTACTTCTTAATATCTTGAAATCCATAAGAGACCAATTTCTTTTACAATATCTTTGGTTAAATAATTTTATAGTAGTTATCATTATCTTACACCACGGATGAGGATAGATGAGAAACATAAAAATTTTAAGGAAAACACATATTTTATCCTTTAGATTTTAAAGTTTAGAAGATGAAAGAAACAATTAAAAAAATTCATGACATTACAGAACACATTAGAAAAGTTCTCATGCAAGTTTCAGTTTTTAAATTCACAGGTTAGAAAAATCATAAAAACTTTATCTTGTCATTTTATTCTTCTTACTCTACTTTCATATTATTACATTTGTTTTTATAAATATTTATATGATTTTTTATCCAGGTATTTTTTTTTTAATGATATGGGGCATGGCTAAGTCAAGTAAAAAAAGTCTTTTTTGGGAAATAAAAAAAATCTTTAAAAATAATATAGTTAAAGATTTGTTTATCTTTTTATATATATATTTTTACAATACACACAAAGTGTGTGTTGTAAAAGATGAATAATTTTAAGTCACAAAAATTACTTTTCATATTTTTTAAAAAGCGTGAAAGTTTTTCGATAGTTACATATTTTAAGACTCAAATTTAAGATGGCAGGTTACAAAATTTCTTTAAAATATTGTTGTAGCCATATAAATTTTTTTGATTTGAAATATAATTAGTTTTTAATTTTAGATGCTTAGCTTACTTAAGATCTGCTATACCTATACTACTAACACACAATGAGGTTGGCATTTTAATTCTAATATACTAAAAAAAAAAAAAATTGGTCTAATTTTATAAAATTAAAAATAAATATTTACACTACAGTTGAGTTCCATTTTACTCCAATTCCATTTTCCATAAACAAGTCTAAAATATGTTCACAATGTTCATTCGATGCTATAGAAAAGGAAATCTAAAAATATAATGTAATATTGTATTTATCTAGATAAAAAGAATATATCAACACAAGGTATATTGGCACAACTAGTGAAAGGAGGGGGTCTTGACACACCAAATAGAAAATTAATTACCCTTCAAAAATTCAGAATATTATAGTTAAAAGCATAAAGGCTATTAAAAAAAAAAAAATTGTTGAAAGGTACAAGTAAAAAACAGTAGTAATCCTTTCAGTAAATTTTTAAATAGAGCAAAATAAAATTAAAAATACATATCTTCTTAATGGTAAAATAAAAATTTTCACTTAATCAAATATTAGAAAAATGAAAACATTTTTATTATATTGTATTTCATTACTTTTTACTAGTGCTAATAGGCTATCGAATCAAATCATAAAATCAAAATCGAAAAAATAGACAACAAATATTTTTTTTCGTAACCTTCAGTTGTAAAACATTATAGGAATAAAAAAAAAACCAGCACAATGGGGTCGCCGCATAGTGGGGGAGACGTGGCATAGTTGGGTCGAGTATAGATTTAATCTGACAGTGATTAAAATTACTATCATAAAAAACGCTTCGATCCATATCTGTAGATAGTGTTTAATTCTAAGAAATTGGTGAATAATTACAAAAGCAACATCAACTTCTATTTCCTTAATTATATCCAAATTAGTAATTCTTAAATTTAAAAATATAATATAAAATTATATATTATATAATTGTTGTATTGAATTGTTTTCAAATTATTATTAATTTTGATTTTTAATATGCTATAAGCAATCATTTTTAACCTACTTTTCTTTGTGAAAGTTTAGAATAAAAAAAAAAAAAAAATTTATTGCCATAACTTCTAGTTCAACTTACAAGTTTGAAATTGATATCAAAAATGAAATTGTTTAGATTAATATGGAGTCAGAAAATGTTATAATTACTATTTACAGTAAATCTATCAGAAAAGCTCTATTTTTTTTTTGCATTTTAATCGTAATAGATCACTTTAATAAAAATATAAATATAAATCATATTAATGATTTTTAATTTACTTTTGATGCTTAAAATATTCTACAATTGAAATATGTAGAAATTAATTCATTTTAATGTTATACATAACTAAAAAAACTAATCAAGAAGTTGTTAAAAAGATTACTCAATTGTGGGAGTATAATAAATTTGATTATAATTGTAAAAATTCAGGTGAAACTTAGAATAATTTTTTTTTAGATTTTTGATTTATATAGCTACATGTTACAAAAAAATTTGGAATATTATAGACTGGTAGAAGCAGACATAAATATAGTTAAAAAATTAATAAACTACAAAGTAAAATTATTTACTTTTATTGTTTAATACTTGTATTATATTAAATCTAATTCGACAATAAATACTTTGAAAACATTATAAATGAATGATTTTAATTGTTTGTATGGATAGAGCTGGTTAAGCTACTTTTTATTTTCGGCGCGTAAGTCTCTTCGGGCCGTCATCATAAGTAGGCCACTGATACGGGTAGGGGTACCCGGCTACGCCGGGCACGATAAGTGTTTTGCAGAAAAATTATTATATCAGAATCAGTGTAACAAAAATATATATTAAAAATGTTATTATTAAAACCAGGAAAATTCAAAAAGAGAATATAGTAAAATGTATTGGGTATAAGGTTGACGTTTGTTAATGAGGTATTCCCTTTAGACCTATTCAAAAATTATTTTAGGAGGGTATTTAATATTTTTTACTTTGTTTAACATGTTATAGAATTTTTTTTTGCTAAAAATTAAAGTAATGATGAAAAAAAAGGACATTAGGTCCTTATTTATTAGAAGTTGCCTAAAAAAATATTGATAGCGCTGGTTCAAGGGGGACCCATATCTTCCTTAAATACACACCTGGTATACACAAAAATTATTAATATTCTAATTATAATAATTGTGTTTATATTATAGAATAATTTAAAAAAAATTCAGCTGGTTATTGTACGTGGGACTATGTAAAAAATTTAATTTTGATAAAAATATTGGTAACTGCGATTTAACGTTAGGTAGCATAGTTGTCATAGATGAATCCCAATTTAAACGATAAACTCATAGACTCATACATCATAGATGAAAAAAAAAAGATTATTAATAATGAAAATGAAAGTGTAAACTTATATAATTATAACCGTCTTAAAATTTATATATAACATATAATATTTCTCGATAAAATATAGTGCTATGTGCAAATGCAAAATAGTGTTCTAATAAAAATACATATTACACCATATAATTAAGGTTCATAATAAACGTATGAGCAGAAATGAATCACTACGCATATAAAAACTATGCGCGTGGAATTATATAAAAAAAAAAAAAAAAACTAACATAATTTCAAAACAAAAAGATAGTTAATAGTCTAACTATAACACGTATTAAATATGAATGAAAGAGAAAAATTTATTTTCTACAAATTCAGAGTCCAATGCAGAAAAATGAGATGGTAACCTAATTAAAAATATTAGGATGGACTTAAAAAAAAAAAGCTCGTAAAACGGTAAAAAATGAACGGATTGAATTGATTTTTTTATCATATCTCAGGAATGTTATTGGGCGGGTCTAATGAAAATTTCAAACCTTAAGTCGCTGGCTTCAGCGAGCTTTTTTCTCAAAAACGGTCAAAATTTTAAAACGTTCGCGAGCGAACGGCAAAAATTGTCCGACCTTCGCCAATAATTTTCCTGAGGTCTGGTGACCGAGTACTTTCGTTGAAAAAAAATTTTTGAAAATCCGAGCACGCTAAGTAATTTTCCCAGAAAAGCGTTTTTTTCCTTGTTCTATTATATAATAAAATGTTAAAAATCATAATGGACATTTTTTAGACGTCTTAAGTAGCTAATGCCCATCCAAAATTAAATTTAGGAAATTATATGTATATAATGCAGTTAAAATAAGTTAAAAGTAAAATTTAATTTAGCTCCTCAAAATTGTTTTTAAATTACATCTTGTGTTGTTGTTAGAAGAAAAATTAATTTTAATACTTACTGAATGATTTTTATGATCTCTACTTTCAGCCCAAATAGAATTGAATATTTGTAAACTGGACAAAATTGCATTCAACAACTGAAAACAATTTCAATAGTATAAATTAGTGATATCCTAACTGTTCGATTTGTAACATCTGAGTTTGGTTAGGTTTGAAAATCAAACTAGAGTATTTAAATAGCAAGAAGAGTCAAAAGATTAATATTTAAAATTTTTTGTATGAATAATGATCAAAAGTTCGGTAAGGGTTAGATAAAACATTTGGATTATTCGTTAATATTATCGTTCTGCTGTAGATATATTGGGGTCATGGGAGCTGTGAGAATAAGACAAATTTTGTCCTAGTTCTTTAAAAATTTAATAGTTTGCAAGGGGGCTTTTTAATTCGGCCTGTAACAACATGGTTTGGCACTTGCATAATGACTAGCTATAGTAGCAAGGGTCGCCACCACTTAGGCGAGGTGTCACACCTATCAGATATGATTACCGATAAATAGGTGGAATTTAATTTTAAGTTAATTAAAAGTATAATCTAAATTAATATGTCGTTATATGTATAAATTACTATAATACCTCGTGGTTTATTAAACACAATTATGACAATCAAAGTTGTATGTGGTTGATATATAAAACATACCGTAGCCTGTGTCTAGATTAAGGAACAGGGATAAAATACACACGAGTAATTAAGTTACTCGTGCAATAAAATAAATATTGCAGTTGAAATTAATAAGGAAATTTAATTTAATTGTTAAAAAAAAAGAAAATTAAGTTAAACATGGACAAAAATGCGAATGTATAAAAAACCATGTCTACAAATAAAAGCAACAAAAATAAAAATAAAATATTTAAACAAAAAAACAAATAATAATACAAACATCACGGACGGTATTGGAACACATCCGTTAATTTAATAGGAAATCAATGAAAAACACCAGGAGCGGTCTGGACACTCGCTCCTTAGCATTGGCTAGAAGAAAAGGGAAACACGTGCTCTCCACACATAAACAAAATAAAGTTAATTTACGATAAAATAAAAATGAAATAAAATATAGCTCATTATATAAATATAATATATAAAAGAAAACGCTACCCGGTCTCCGAAGAGACCCATCCGATGGTCTGGATGCTTCGCCGTTGGCGGCTCTACTCCATCATTGACAAAAAATCATCAAAAAATGACAATTAAACAATATACGTGTGCATTCTAGCATGGTCAATGACAGATGAAAGAATGGAGAAGAGCCAACACCGATCTAACAGCAATATCAAATCGATAATGGCCAGTCTTTTTGGAAGGGATCAATACTGATAAACAATTCGATTTTAATTATATTTCTCTTTTATCGCTTTATCTAGCGGTCAGAGGCAAAATAATGAGAGGTTGGCACCGCTGTGTCAAGAAAAGGTTCTTTCGCGCTATAAAATAAAAATGTAGACATAACAAAAAAATCATAAACGGTCCACCTTCAAATTTGTGACGTAACAAGTTGGTTAATTTTAGCTTCGATGTGAAGCTGAGAAGGTATTAATTTACTAAGATGTGTTTTTTTTTTTTTTTTGTCTGTTGCCACTTTTTCTCAGCTCTCACCGAACCGATTTCTTTTAATGATACGTCAAAAGATCACAAATATAGTCGAAGACATTACCCTCAAAAATTGAAAAAAATTCCCTCGTTCCCCGTAAATGGGGGAAACCTCCAAAAAAATTACAAATTTAAAAATGGCTAATTTTCGAAATTTTCGAAATTTTTTTTACTAAAAACTACCTTAACTTTTTTAAAAATGAACATATCAATATAATTTTTTTTTTATAGATGCATGATGTCATTACCTATCATTTGGTATATTTTTTTTATAAATTTAACCCTTTACCTGCCCACAAGGGGGATTTAAAATGACAACTTTTTCACAACAAATTAACTTTTTCAACTTAACTTTTGAAAGTGTTCCGGAAATTCTGACATTATTATTTATATCTTAAATTAAAGCTAATATAATATACTTTATTATGGAAAAAAAAAATTTCAGACTTTATTTTGTCTTCACGGTGAAAATGGCTACCGAATGCTATTTTTGTGTGAAAATTTTCGATTATGTATTTTACATTTTTAACTTTAAAATGTTATAACTTTAGAAAAATATATGGATCAATACAATTTTTTTATAAGAAATAATATTTACATACTTTTTTTTTAAATCGGACCAATTCCCTTAATACAGGGGGGGTTAAAAACATAAAAACGCATATAGAAAGTAGAACTTTTTCAACTAAATTTTTTATTTTATTTTTTATTATTTATATTAATAATTTTAACTTTTGAAAGTGTTCCGGAAATACTGATACTTATATATCTTAAATTAAAGCTTATGTAATATACTTTATTATGGAAAAAAAAAAATTTGGACTTTATTTTATCTTCATGGTGAAAACAGAAATCAATGTTAATAAAAAAAAAATACGATTTTTGTAATATACTTTAAAATTAAAAAAAAAAATTTTGGACTTTATTTTGTCTTCACAGTCAAAATGGCTATCCAATGCTAATTTTGTGTGAAATTCTCGATTTTACTTTTAAAATTTTTAACTTTATAATGCTATAACTTATTGAAAAGTGTATGGATCAACACAATTTTTTTATGAGGAATAATATTTTTTAATAATTCCTCTTTCATTCGACATACTTTGTCTTAATCAGGATATTAATAAGGAACTAACAGTTTATGAAGCTTTTGGAATAATCCACTAATTTTTTAAAATTAATCACTATCTAAAGATTTGCATCGAAGCGTTTTTTTTTTTTGATAGTGAATTTTATCACTGTCAGATATCATTATACTTGATCCAACTTTGCCACGTCACCATTGTGCCGCGACCCCCCCTGTGCTGGGTTTTTTTAATATACATAAAAAGGAAACAATATGTTATTTATTTACCTTAATTCACATTAACAGGCATTCCTAGGAATTAATTGTGAATTATCATTTAAATACATAGAAGTATTTAAATATAACAAATAACAAAAAAAATTTAATTGATTAAAATTTTTATATAATTTCTATAAAGAGTTTTGACATTAATTCAAAATTTGACTTCAGATTTTTTCTATCATATATGTATTTATATAGATAAATTCTAACAAGTTATTAAGTGATAATTACACAGTAAAATCGTTTGGATCAGTAACTTTCCTAAATTAACTCATGATATAAATAAGAGTTAGGCAAAATTTGAGACTGTTCCATCAAGTTTAACATATTTGATATCTATGCATTTTAAGTAGGTGTACAAATCAGCAAAATAGAAATTATTTTTAAAAACTACTTTAGAAATATCTTTATCTATTGGTTCATAATCAATTATATTTTTAATAAATTGTAAATCTAAATTGGCGTTAATGCAGCATTGGTGCACTAAACCATTGTTTAATATATAAACTTGTAATAAAAATACATAATGAACGAATATTATTTCTTTGATTGACAATTCAAATTGGCCCCGAAACAAAAAAAATTTCAAACAATAAATGGCCTTGGCCATCCAACGAGCATGATGGATTGGGTCAGGAATTTTAAAATAAATTCCATGCAAATGTTAGAGCGTGATATTTTATACTTACCATGCAGACATCACATTTATGAAATTATATTGAAAAGTATTTTTGAAGTAAAATTTAATACATCATCTGAACCAGATGTTCCTATTTTCAATAAATTCCAAAAGTCTTGGTAAAATATAATTAAAACAAATTACTTAAGTGGAAAAGAAGATACCATTATTTTAGAAAAATTAAAAAAAAAAAAAGACGATATTTTGAAATTTAGTTTTGAACAATTAAAAAATACCAACCTCGAGATGACTACGAGGAACTTTTAGAATTGGTCATAATATTTTTTGGTGAAACAGCTTTACATAGAATTTATTTTAAAATTCCTGGCCCAATCCATCATGCTCGTTGGATGGTCAAGGCCATTTATTGTTTGAAAATTTTTTTTGTTTCGGGGCCAATTTGAATTGTCAATCAAAGAGTTAAATATTCGTTCATTATGTATTTTTATTACAAGTTTATATAGTTTTTGGTTGTATATGAATTTTGTAAGTGAACATTATTTTAGCTTCAATGTGAAACTGAGACAATATTAATTTTACTTTGATGTATATTTTTTAATTAAAATTTAAAAAATTGTAGGTTTTGAATAGTAAATATAGAAAAAATGTCGAATTAAAAATGTATAGAAAATTAAATTTAAAACAACGGTTAAATGAATTTTTTTTATGTTTTTACAATGAACGATTTATAAATTAACAGTATTAACGGTAAGAATAGAACATATACGTTTTTATTTTTTTAGGGCTAAATAAGAACTTTTTAAAAATTGTTGTATATATACTTTTTATAGAAAAATTGTATAACTAGTGAAAATGGCTACCAAATGCTATTATTGTGTGAAAATTCTCAATTTTATTTTTTACATTTTTAACATTATAATGCTATAACTTATTGAAAAGTGTATTGATCAATATAATTTTTTTATGGGAAATACTATTTT